ATTTGCATCAGCAAAACAGAGAGTCTGTCAACAAGCAGTGATCTTCTTAAGTTGGCTTTGCCATCAGAGGAACCATTCACTGAATTACATCCCAAGTAGAAAAAGTAAGATGTTAGTGACGGTTGACTGCCTTCCCCGTACTAAGGTTACCTGAATCCTACTAGTCTAGTCTGCAGCAGCTCCTGTCCTGGAAGAGCATGGGGGGCTCTGGCCATAGGACTCATTACGCTGTCCAGGTATTCCTTTAGTATAAGGGAATGCTCAGTTGTCATTGTAATAGGTTTTGTCCTTCATTAAAATTTATGTTGACCAAAGGTCTGGTCCTACTGTTGGATGCAGAGCAGGTTCAGCTGTATGGGTATGTTAAGAGAGCAGCTGCCTCACCTTATACAATGCCAAGGAGTCAGAATGGCAAATTCTCAAAAGTGAGACACTTATTGCTCTACATTATCTGCATCCAAATGCAATCAAATTATGTTGTGACTAGTCAGGAAGTTAAGAGGGAAGTAGAGCAAATGCTACTCTTGCCTACTGTAGGCAGTAAAGAAATAATACTGATATATTGCAAGAACACAATGGTGAAATTCCTTTCTCTCTGTTTTGGTCATATGAGAACAATACCAGCAGTAGGTCCAACTCCTCTGGCATAGCTTGGCGTGACCCATGGTGGCTGGAAAAGCAGCAGTCTGTAACCACAGCGAGGGAGAGCAGAGCTCACTGGCTTGCAGAAATAGGAGCAAAGAGGCAAAACTGGCCACTTTTCCAACATCATAATCTCACACCTTTGGGGTCCAGGGACAACCTGTCAGGTCACGTTCCCTCAGAGTGTTTAAGGGAGCATTAGCAAGGGGTCATGAATAAAAGAAAAAAAAATGTCCATGCCTTTTACAATCCAGCAAAAAGCATGAATCTCTGACTATTTTAATATGGATGATTAGTGTGCGGTGATTAGAAGTGATGTGGGGCCACACCCTGGAGATAGTTTGTCTCAAAGAAGGCTTTGGCTTCAGAGGAGGTGGGAAAGCAATGGGGTGCAAAAAATTGGTTTCGGTGGTTGTGCTCAATTGTTTTGAAAGATGCAGAAGGTGAGCTGTGTTACTAGAACCATACCACTTCTAGGAATCTCTCTCCTTACATGAGACATTAGCAGTAATACTACCATGTCTAAAATTCAGATAATACTGTCTTAAGCTGATTTGGATCAGCAAAAGAAGGTTCAGAGCTTGGACTTCTTTCTTGCCTTTCTGTTTATAGGGTAATGTGTAAATGAAGGATCCAGTTCCCGATGTCACATTTGTACTTTAACACTGTAATACTATGCAATTTCACTACCGGTGCACGCCAGTGCAGCTCAGCATTGATTGTCTAGAAACTGAGCTGATTTTTACGGGTAAAAAATAAAAGTATGAAGCTTTTCAAGAAAAGGAAGACAGAAAGAATCAAATACAGAAAACATCGGTATCTGCACCATAAATATTCTAACTAGCTTTAGGCATAAAATCATTATTGAAGCTTCTAGTCCAATGTACATAGGATGAATTATGTGTTTGAGCCCTTTTGTAAATCCACTGTTTACAGTGAAGCCAAATGATTAACATAGTTGCTTGAGTTATTTTAGACTATTTGTGGTAGATAAATTCTCCATAAAATTTCCTCTGTGTTATATTTAATTCTTTTGTGCACAGTTCTCTATAACCCATTTTTGACTGTATCAGCTGATATTCTTAAGACAAATTTTACAGACAAATGTTTCTCTGGGTCTTGGAGAGATCTGACATAAAATGTCTTATGTTCTCACTTCAGGAGGTCGGGATCTTTCAACCAAATTTAATAGCTATTTATTCCTTGAGAAGATCTTATCTAATGTAGTATTGGTTCAGGGTCGTTCACAACCTCACATTATATTGAAACATGGACAGAGAGTGTAATTTGTTAATGTCACGAAGGATGAAGTTGGTTAGAAAGGGAAGTGTACAAGATTTATAATAACACAAGTGTTTCCTTGCTAATCCCTTGGCAGGTTCATTATCTGTAGAGCCCCAGGCAATAGTTGGCCTATCGTGAGAGTGAAATTTAACCCACAGCATGAAATTAATCCTCAAAGACTTTTGTCTACTCTTTCTAGAAATAATAAATTCAAAGTGATTTTCTAATTCTCCTCTCTAACCTTATGCAGGGGTGTTAAATTGGTATCTAAACTCTATGGTATATGTCAATTTATTGATTTATGTTTAGTTAACTAACATGCAAGTGTATACCAAGCAAAATATGAAATTTGAAGACATGGATTCGTGGTATGTTCATTGTTTCTTCCTGAAAACTTTTTTTCTCTGATAATACAGAAAATTTTATTCCTTCTAATTACAGGGAAGACAAGGAATGTGTATATGTATGCATGCATGTATAAAATCATTCAAAATATCATATCTGGATTTTCTAGAACTTCTGAATTTATATATGAAATAACTTAGTGGGTTTTTTCACAGCCTGACTTCTTTTGTAAAAATTCTTAGAAGTCTAATGAGGGCTTGTTGCTGGTAAGTACTGGATTTTTGGTAGAGTTTTGGAAACTACTTCTTGAATCAGCTCTGTAAATACTGGTTAAATCAGCTGGGTTTTCTTTTTCAGAAAGAGGTTTCTTTTTTGTACATATGCAAAGAAGTTTTCTCTTCTAAGGAGAGAACAGGTGAAAGTGATTTGTTACTGACCGATTCTGACTCTGCTTTGTGGTTTTTCACAACATGATTCCTCACCCATGCACCACCTAGTCTATCGAAGTGTATAAACAGTTCTAGATAGTATTATATCGATCTAGATACTGTCTAGGTATAGGGTAAAGATTTTCCCCACTTTAGCCAGCATCTACCCAGCATTCCATTGGCTAGATATTCTTTATATTTTGTGCTTGTCTTCCAGAGAATTTTGACATTTCTGAAGGCAGTAATTCATATCTAATAGATGTTTACAGTTTCCCTATCATCTATGTTGAAGAGCTTTTTCAAGATATTAGTTGAAACTCCACACAGTTGTAGCCCTTGGGACAGAAACCAAGTGACAAGAAATGGTCAAGTGCTTCTTAGTACACAGTTCTTACCCGGGGCAGGAAGTTTGCAGGCTACTTAGAGGCTGTTATATGATCAGATCTAGAAAGACATTAATCTTCTGATCATGCTTCTTATTCTTCAGACATACTTTATAACAGTGGTGTAGACATTGAACCATTCTCACTTCACATATTCCCTAAAAGAAAATTAGTTTCTCAAGTCATACCATATTTCCTCTGTGTATTTTAAGAAAGTTATTTTTGTGCACACATATACTCTGGTGATTAGATGGAAAACAGCAGTTGCTGAAGTATGTTAAACAGAACAGTGAGCAGAGGACCGTCTTCAACCCTAGCAGAGACTTTAAGACATGTTAAAGATGCCTCTTGATATTAAGTAGAGATGAGACATGTAGGTCTAGGAAACCTCTGAAAACTATATACGCTTTTGTAATATTTATTGCTGAGGATAGAAAGTCCTACAGAGATACCTCATATGAAGTTAAAACATAGGTTTCCAATCTATTTTTCAGCTGCTTTTATTGTTAATGGAAGCTGATGAATTCATAATGTGATATGGTACAGTGAATCGATACCATATAGTAATTCAGATACCATTTATGTCTGCATTATCACTATCCCTGCAATGCAGTAGTATAGAGAGAAGAGAAAATTGCAGAATTGCAGTGCTTGGTTATAGGTGTTAGAGATGACAAGGAAGGAGCAGAGGCAATGATACATTGCTCATGTTTTGACCAATGACTGCCTCAAGGTTCTCCATCTGCTTAATACATAGTGTTTCTTCAGGACAGCACTCTTCTCTCTCCCACCTATTTTGGTAATTTTGCTCATTCTCTGTACATCCATCAGTCTCCCCTGTGATTGACTTTCCCTATTTGCCCTTTTCCCAGACCACAGGCTCATAGTGAAAACTTCTTGCAACAAAAGCAGCAGTGTTTGTCGATTGTGAGACTGTGGTTTCTGCTGCCATTTCCAATGACAAGTTGGCATCTTGTGACCTCTAATAAATGACATCTAATAAATTGGCAGGTGATAAGTCTCTTAGCTGGTAGGCAGGATGGCTGTTTGCAATTTCAAGAGAGTCTTGAAACAGAAAAAGGTTAAAAACTCTCCCCTGCATTTAGTGAAACTGGAGATTCCTTTCTGCAGGCCTTTAAGGTCAACTTTATTCTTGGGAGGGGTTTAGGCCACAAGTCAGACAATCTATAGATTTTTAACAAGGATAATACCAGTGTATTCTGAAGCATTTAGATACAGTAAGTCCTTCTCACACCTTACTCTGGGTGCGTTTCAGGCTCCATAGCAGGGAAAGCTGGGAATCCTTGGATTCCTATTTGTGCGCACAAAGATTAGACCCACAGTGGAGCAGCTAAACCTAATGCCAGCGTTATGTCACACAGCAAATCAGCAGCACAGACTATATGGCTAGCTCTTTGGAAGAGTAGCATAACATAGGAAGAAGAAAAGTTATGCTTTTCTTCTTCCAAAGAGCTAGCCATATAGTTGCTTTTCCAACTAGCTGGCATATCTGCAAGGAAAAAGAGGGAGGTGGCACACCTACGTGTTGTACACTTAGGGTTTTATTTATTGCACACTTACTCAGTTTGGCTTTAGACAACAAATTGCAATTTATGGACCAACAAAGGCATAACACCACTCATTATATATAATAATATTTATAGTAATTTCCTATTAGTTCTGTATAAGCATGCAGAAACACTTCTTCAAACAGTCATTTTATAACAAGCCCATTTTATTTATCAGAAGGCATTCAGTAATTCAGTTGGTTTTATCTCCGAGTCCATGTAGCACTATGAAGACTTGACTAACTGGGCGTATGGAAGGGGTACTGAACATGGTAAGGAAACAAAGCAGTAGTCCCTGGAAAATACAGTATGGCAACATCAGAACTGTTTTTCGGTCCTCAGGTTCAATAGCTGAGTGGAATCGGCCATGTTAGCATAGTCTGCCTGCCTGCCTGGAGAAGAACGTGAGCAAAACGCCTTTACAAGACTTCTGTGAATGCACACAGTGAAAGGAGGAGTTTTTCTAGCTTCAAACTGGTGGTCAGTGAAATGTTTTGTTTTCTGAGATAGACGTCACTGTAATAGAACCCCACAATATTTCCTTGATTTGAATGTTTTCATTAAATCAAAAGGAATCATTTAGGGTTTCTTTTTGGGAAAACAATCCTTGAAAGGCACAAGGCTGCAAAGAAACAGTAAAATCTGCTGAGAAGTATATCCTCCAGACTACTGTACTGCCTGCTACCCACAAACACTTTTCTGAAAGCCTCTCTCTTTTTCAGAAGTTGCCTTGCTTTGTACCTTTAAAATTATCGGCACTTGGAAAAGCCTTGTTAAATTTGAAAGAAGTCCTGTTTTCCCTTAGACTTAACAATGTTTCAGATACTGATTAAAAAGGGAACTCTCCCTTTATTCCTGAAGCCGGTAAGAAATATTATGGAAAATTGCGTTAACTCTTGCAAATCCCTGTACAACTATAAAAGTACAAATGAGATCGTCCCTGCTGTTTCAGTCAGGCCTATGAACCTCAGAGCAATAGGATATTTATAAGAAAATTCCAGACATAGCAGTGGTGCCGTGATCCATATGACCCAAAGTTTCCAGTCTTTGTCTATCCTCCTGTCTTTAAGGAAAAACAGAGGGGCATAAAATGAAAACTTGGAAGATCACAAATCATTGTTATGACTCATTATAATAAATGATTTGTGCATTACTTTATGGAGTAGTTAGGTTGAGTTTGGGGAAAAAAAGAAACCTTCCTTTTTAATTTTCACCACTTTATGCCAATTTTCAAGCAACTGTCTTTCCTAAAATAACAACGCTCTTTTTTCCACACTATCCTGGATAACTGGTGAGTTTTTTCAGCTGGGAGAGTGTGTTGGGATATAAAGGTGCAGTCTTGCATGGCTGTTGTCAAGAGCCTGTTAGTATTTCCATTACAGCATTAAGTCTTATTTTCTGGTGTTTAAAACTGGGCCATAAAATGCTTGAAGTTGAACTTTGGTAGTTTTAAAAAAGTATTTACAAATAAGGAAAATAATCTCATTGGGTGGGGCTTTTTAGTTCTGCGAAAAAATACTATCCTTTAAGCTTTGTTGCAACTGTGATTCACAGTTCTGGATAATCAAAATGTGTCTTCTGACCACAGTGTACAGCCTGGATTTTAGATTATTTTTTTTGTTAACTATTAATAGTATAAGAGTTATTAGAAAAAGAAAACAAATCTGCTGAAGTCTGACAATAACTGCTGTTTTTCCACTACAATGCATTTGGGAGACCTCATCTTCTTTATTTTTGCAATACAATGAGGTATATTTCCAGGTGTCAAAAGTTTCTCTTTACTTCCTAGGATAAATTCTAATGTTACACAAACATTTGCTGAAAATGTGATTATGTATCTGTGGACTCTGAAAGACACTGGCAAGCTACCATTTCAAGACAGAGCAAACTTTCCTTAAAGTTATGGGATTACATTTTTGCTTTGCTTTTTACAGAGGGAAGTGCACTATTTCAGATAAATTTTATTACAGAAAGCAGGAGTGTTCCAATATTTTACTAGTTATACTTTAAGTCACCACAGCAGAGAAAGTCATAGTGCTTCAGAGGAAATTTCATCCTTAACTTGCCTTGTTATGCCCTACTGTATGTTAAGAATTGCTGAGGTCGCTTAGCACTGCCTGATAATGAATTCCATATAAGCTGTAATATTGGGGCACAGCTGGGTGGGTAAGAGTTGAGTTTCAGTCTTTAACTCAGAATTTCCTCGTTTTACTAGTTTCATTTCAAAAGGTAATGCTCCTTTAAGGGTTTACGTTTTCTGTTGCTTAGCCATACAATCTAATAGAAAAAAAGTCATTTTTACATGGAATCAGCATATGCATAGTAGATAACGTCTACATTATGTGTATTAGCTATTAGTCATTTAAAATGGTTTGTCTGTTAATAAGAAAGGCCATGTGAGTTAAGGCTTTCAAATGCAGGGTATTTAGCTGTGCTTTTCAGTAGAATAAGTCTGGTTGTATTCTTTCCACTATTTTAAAAATCTCAGCCACAATATCTTAATGAAATTTTTTCCCTCTTAAATAATTTCCAGTACAAACACAGAAGGTTGAGTGAACACTCAAAACTAACACTTCTTTCAACAACTCACAATTTGATTTTGGCTATTTTCCACTGAAAATGAATTTGGATTTCTGTATTTGACCATTTCTTTCCTTTGGGAGAAAAGATATTTTTGGTTATCTTTCCTACTTTGGCCGTAGGGAGCAAGTGTAATACATATTTCATTGTGGTTTGCAATTTTTTTGTGCTAATTCATTTTAATACTAAAAAAATAATAAGAGTACACCAAGCTATGATGGGACTGATCTCATCAAAGAACTTAAAATGCTAATGAATACTCAAAAGCATTGAACAACTCCCAGAAAATCCTCCCCCAAAATCTTCTTGCCATAAGCCGCAACGATTTTCCTGTCTTCTCAGAAAGAAAAGTGCTGTGTGATCACCACTGGGGACACTGAAATCAAAGCTTTGTTTGGAAAACTATGTAGAAGTACTTGGCTCTTTCTATAGGCATTGTTGAAGAAAAAAGTGACTTTTTCCTGTGGGATATAGATCTTAATTACATTTTCCTAAACTGGAAGAGTTTTACAACGAGGTTTACTGTTTGTAGTTCAGGTATTGCCCAGTAATGACCAGTAGTAATTATTCATTTGAAGCCTTCCTGTGGCTTATCAGATACATGTTTTATTTTACAAATCTGCATTAAGATTTGCCTTTGTATCTTTCTGAAGTAATAGAGAATACTATTACTTTTTAAAAACAGTGATATTATTCCTCTAATCTGATACCATTGATACCAATCTTAACATTAGTTAAAATTAGGTAAATTTTTTATGCTTACATTTGAATTTTCGGAAGGTTCCAATTTACAGACACTCACTAATGGATTTGTAGATCACAGTAATGTCACAGGACACAAGAGTTGCTCTACAGGGTTCATCTAAAGGGCCGTCTAGTCCAGCTGAGAGAGGTCAAGAGAGGATATACATTTTTGTAATAGAAGTTAAACTGAGATAAGAAACTGGATGTTTTTTAAACTGGCCCATATTACACACGGAAATCAGCCAAACCACATTCTCTTTTTTCCCTGAATTGAGACTGGATACTGTGGGCTTTATGTTGTATAATCTAATATCTGATTTCTTGTGAAATCTCTTCTAGTCATTAGTTTATGTTCCTCATCACTTTATCTGTTGTCTCTCTATAAGCTGCTTTGAAGGAAAACATACAAGTCTATCCAAAACTAATGAAAACCAGACTTCTGTTGAAGTATTTATTAGGCCATAAGTGACTACCTATATTTAAAATCATAAAAATAACTCCATCATCTCTAACAATACAAAATTGTTCCTTATGGTGCCATTTCCAATGATTTGTCCAGTTTAGATAAGGGGCAAAAAAATTCATAGATTTGGGGGAGGGGGGGATGTTTTTAGTTGGGAAATAGAGATTACAGGAGGTTTCAGGAATAAACTATCACTGTGGAAAACAAAGCCCTGGATTTACCATTACTGGTTTCTTCAGATTCTTTTACCAGTGTAAGTGCTTTATATATATATATATTTATATATGAAAAACACGAACAGTGTTTAAATTTACCCATAAATTTTACAGTGGTCACTTCCTAGCTGATCTTATGTTTGTAAGATCATTAAGATCACATATACTGCATCATCTTTCACACAAAAAATTGTGTGATGTTTCAAATACAGCTGTCCCTTTGTGATTATCACAGTTGTCTTAAGTTGTGCTCAGAAGTTGTATCCAGGCAACCAAAGCAAAGTTTCAAGGACAAAATTGTACCTTTGAGGTAGCCAGAACGCTGGCAGAGAGGTCAGGGGAGCTGTCCCTGCTCTGGCAGGACTTGGAGGTAGGCTTTTCAGCCAGAAGAACATTGGAGCAATTTCTAAAGGACAATAAAAAATGTGTGTTGGTTGCAGGTCCATAACTAAGAGGAAAGACTAGTACTCTGCAAGGAGCTTGTTGAAGCCCACAGCTGCCAGTTGTATCTGGGACCCCAGAAACACAAGAGCAGGACCTGGAAGCTGGGGGTTGAAAACAGGAAATGCTGTGCAAGTGCAATAGGCGAGGAGGACACCAGCTCAGAGCCTCACTTCACCTCACTATGAAACATGCAAGTGTTCTCAGTATTTTCATTCTTGAAATAAAAGGGAACTTGCACAGCATCATTGCTATGAGCATGCATGATGTTTCTCTGACCAGTTTTTAGTGTGGAATGAAAAAATGGTAGTTTTCACTAAATTTTTTGTTGTTGTTTTGAGTTCCCTGTACACACACTCACACACTAATTGATAGAATTAGATTATTAAAAATATTTATGGTTTGAACTGAGTTTCTGCTGTATTTCTTTCTCAGGAAAGCACTAAATTATTTGTATGTAATTGCTATGACTAGTTATTTTTGTTTTCATTAGCAAAATTACCAGAGTAGATTACCATGAAAGAGTTACATGGGTTAATGTGAACTGCTTTTGGTCAAGTTTATTTTTGTTAAATATTCTCTTCTGAAACTACATGTAAAGGAAAACAACTTTCTGACATTATAGTTACTGTATTTTTTTCACATACACATAATGGAAAAATTACTGCAGGAGAAAAAAAATAGACTAGTTCTTCATTAGTAGCTGGCATAATATATCTTTCATTTCTTAAACTCTTTATTACACTCTTGGTATATATAGTACTGCTTTATACTGATATTTTTGATGCAATGATGTGCTGTTCATCTTGAATATAAAAACAAGAGATAGAAGAAAGTGATCTATAAAAGAAATAGGAAGTGCAGGAAAGATGAAGTTTTTTTTCTGATTATTGTACTTTTGTCTGGTCTAAGAATAACACTCACATTCAGAGAACTGACTGAGAGTACCAGTACACCACCTAAGCCGTTTTGTCATATTTAGGACTTTGCTGTTTCTCTGTTCAATGACGCAGTTTATTAAGGGAAAATATTTTCAA